AGTAGAAGATGGACGCTTTGAAAGTTTCTTGGTCGAGGATCGTCTAGGAGGAGAGTTCGAAGGTCCAGGTGTAGAGGAAGAAGGCGGAATGGTTAAAGATGCGGGAACAGTAGGTTGAGTAGAAAGGACCTCGTCCTCCTCTGGCTCGTCTAAGGCGCCGAGAGCAGGTCGACGGCGGCGGAGGGGGATATTATCCATGGTAGGGCTGCTCATTCGGTTAAAACCGAACCGAACCGACCGAATTTTCGGTTAACCGAAAATTCGGTTTGCCCACTATCATAACCGAAAACCGAACCGAAATTTACGGTTCGGTTCGGTTTTTAACCGAAAACCAACGGTCGGTTCGGTTCGGTTTTCGGTTAATCGCAATAAATAATTAATACTATTGTTAAATTTTAAATTTTTAACCGAATAAATAATTTGATGTTTTATCCCTACAAAAAATAATAATAATTTTTTATTACCTTATTCAATATTCTCAATAAATTCTAAATTATGCTCAAAGGAAGATTTCTGACCCGAACCATGACTTGGACTATGATGAAACAATTTTGAGTGCAAATTAATGCTTGAGCAATTTTATGCGTCAATGAAGGTTGAAAATAATCAATCATTGAAGCAAATTAATGCTTTTATAACTTATATGTATAAATAAAAAAACATGTATATATATTAAATAAATCGGTTTTCGGTTCGGTTCGGTTAACCGATCACAATTATCCAAACCGAACCGAAAACCGAAATTTTAGAAAATGTGAACCGAAAACCGAACCAAATAATCGGTTTCGGTTTCGGTCCAAACCGAATTTTCGGTTTCGCTCGGTTCGGCTCGGTTAACCGAAGTTTGTGCACCCCTAATCCATGGTGTCCCCGGAGTTGGGAGATGGAACACGAGCTGTGAAAAAACGAGTAGGAACTGTGTCGCCGGGGCGAAGGATAGAGAGAGGGGCAACTTCGAGCCCAGAGGGCAGTATTTCAACCGAATCAGAGGAGGTCTCAGAGTCTGAAAAATAAAAACAAAGAGAACAATATCAAAAAGAACCCGTCGCAAAGAAGAAAAGGGGGAGAAGGAAGACTAGGGTTTTCGGAAGGAACAATCCCAAAACCAGAAGAGGAATTTGAGAGGCGCGAGGACGGAAAGTTTGGAAATTTTCAGAGGAAAAGCAAAATTCTACAACACCCAATAGACAGATAAAAGTATTCAGAGCACAAATTCAACACAAGACACGCCAATTCAAAATGATTCAACAGACAAATCGAGGATACCCGATACCGAAAATCCAAGAATACACAAAATAGAACTACAGAAAATACAAATTCAAGGGCGGAGAGACTTACTCATAACCGTGGATCAACAAGTAATGGAAGTTCGAAAGGATGCAGGAGAAATTGCCGAGAAAGTGAGGGTTTTTTTGCAGAGAGAATTTTAGGCACATGAGAGTTCGAAATTGCAAGGGTGGAAAAAGTCTGAAAATTTACTAAGTATGGGATTTATACCTTGGATAGTCTAAGGGTTGAAAAGATGGGGACCGTGGGATTAAAGTTAGATCGTATGGTGGACAACATTAATTGACACGACACTCAAAGCGGGCGCGTTATGCGAGGAGGCGTTATCATTAAAATACCGGCCAAGTACCTGAAAAGCAGGACACGTGGCGAAAAAGTAGATGCGACAGAAAAGGCGTGTGACAGAAGACTTTACTTCTGACAATTAATGAGGCATTATTCAAAAATCAAGCGGGA